CACGGTCAAATATGTTCATCTTGCTGTAGTTGTAGCCCCCTTGCCAGCGATTCTCTCTCTAGTTTAGCATACTCAGCCCGACTCAGCCTGGTTGTTGGCCCGCTAAGAACCTCGATTTTATGGGGCCAGAAAAACTGTGAAATAGTAACCGCTAGCCGGTANCGGTATCAGTATGTTGTTACTTCGTCCTCATTTTGAAACGTGTATTACAATTAAATCACGGTCAAATATGATCATCTTGTTGTAGTTGTAGCCCCCTTGCCAGCGATTCTCTCTCTCTAGTTTAGCATACTGAGCCTGGTTGTTGGCCCGCTAAGAACCTCGATTTTATGGGGCCAGAAAAACTGTGAAATAGTAACCGCTAGCCGGTACTACGCCTAGTGGAAACGCAACCAAAAACGGGCCAAGCACGGCACGCTTAAACCGCGCTCCGCGCTGTAGTGGAAATGCGCCATAACATGGCCCCTGCATACATCAGGGACTGCCTTTCATGTTATTATAACCCTAAAAGGTCACACTCAGATCTTCCAATGCCTTTACCTAAATTGTTTCACAAGAAATATCCTTGAAAAGTAAAAACATTTTTTTTATTTTTGGCACATTTTTTATTGTTTATGGTTTCGGATCTAACTCTTCCTTTTTTGTTTTCATAACTTTTATTTAACGATGTTTCTTACTCTTTATGTTTACTCATTGTTATTTTTTGTATGTATCATGTCTTGCTTTGTAAAGCACTTGGGCTGCATCTCGCATTAAAGGTGTAAATAAAGTTATTATTAATAATATAAAGGCAGATTTCAGGGAGAATATCATGTGTCTCACCTCTCTCCTCTAGACAAGTACGCAGTCCGCTTCATCCCCAGAGAGAACGGCCTCTATCTAATTGATGTGAAGTTCAATGGCAGTCACATCCCCGGCAGTCCGTTTAAGATCCGGGTCGGAGAGACGGGCCAGGCCGGAGACCCTGGCATGGTGTCGGCTTACGGAGCAGGACTGGAGGGAGGCACCACAGGTAACACACTGCCCCTCATTACACAACACAACACTAAACCTCCTGTTGTCCCCATAGTCACCTCCACCCCCCCTGCTCTGTCTCCAGGAACGGCATGTGAATTTGTGGTGAATACAAGCAAGGCGGGCCCCGGAGCGTTGGCTGTGACAATCGACGGGCCCTCCAAGGTGAAGATGGATTGTGTGGAGTGCCCCGAGGGCTACAGGGTCACATACACCCCCATGGCCCCTGGTAACTATCTAATTTCCATCAAATACGGCGGTCCTTACCACATCGGCGGAAGCCCCTTCAAAGCCAAGATCACCGGTGAGGAGTCTTTTCAATTTTTAGGCAAATTAATACATTTAAACCCTGCAAAAAAGATTTGAATTTAAATATCCCCGAAATGAACTTTCACTCCCCTCTCTGTCTTCCAGGTTCCAAGCTCGTGTCCAGCCACAGTATGCACGAAACCTCTTCAGTCATGGTGGACCCTCTGACCCGGGCCATCAGCTGTTCTCAGCCGGGGGCCCCCACCCAGTCAGACGCCAGCAAGGTGGTGGCCAAGGGCACGGGCCTGACCAAGGCCTACGTCGGCCAGAAAAACAGCTTCAGTGTCGACTGCAGCAAAGCAGGTGTGTGTGACTGTGTGGTTAACTAGTCATTTCATATGCTTTCCCCCCTCCCCAGGAATTATGTATTGGGACAGTGTTTGTGTCTCAATCCTGAGCACAGACTGGGAATGAAGGGCACATGCTAGTATTTGGATCAGATCATTTGTGGGTGGAATTTTTTCTTGATATCCCTGAATGCAGAAACAAAAGTGCCATTCAATTGACCCAAAGACAATGTTATGGGACTCAAATTGAAAAGGTACAAGCTTAGAGTTGATTTTTATGGTCAAAAGTTGATATGACCTCAAAAAACACAATGAGCCCCTTCTAAAAAATAATAATTATGACAATTATTTTAGACAAAATGTAAGCAAACCGCAACTTGCCTGGTTGGTGGAGGAATACATCCAGTAAGTCTAGTTTAAAGAAACAACATTGTTAAGCTGAGGGGAAATCATGAGATTATAGCGAACATGTGACTATATTTAGCCAACATATTTTCCCATCAAGACTCGAGGCACAAATAATATAAGGGAACAGTATCATGCTAACACAACGTTTAAAATGGTTTCAGTGTTTTAATTTATTTTCAGTCAGTATAGCGTTGAAGGAATTGGTAGTAAGACTTGGAAATTAGTTAGCATTTTAGCACTTATTTGGTTAACACAAGCTCAAGATACTTTCATGTTTTGTTCTTCAACATACAGTTTTTCAACAAAAATCCCACTAGTGAATATATGAAGCTTCTACTTGTCATAAAAACAGCAGTTGCTAACAAGTGGCTAAATGAGACTACTAAACGTCGTCACACGAGCATTAGCCAACTTTAGCTTAGTGGTGGTGTAACATTAGCTTTTTACTTTTGGCGATTGCATTAAGGCTTCATAAATCATTAAAGTTGTGTTAATATGTGGAGATTATCATGCTGAACTAAACATGTTACATTTTATAAACTGAGTTTATTTCTGGAAAATGTCTAAATCCTATGGAATAATCCCATTGTGTTTCGTGGAGTGAGCCCTTGCGTTGCTAACCTCCGGGTCGGCCTTTAACAATGTCACCATGCACTACTCAATACTAAGCTAATATTAATTAATTTATTTGTCTGTGTCCATCCACAGGGCGTAACATGCTCCTGGTTGGTGTGGACGGGCCCAAAGTCCCCTGTGAGGAGATCCTCGTGAAACATTTGGGCAGCCGCATGTACAACGTGAGCTACCAGCTGAAGGAGAAGGGAGAGTACATCCTGGTGGTGAAGTGGGGAGACGATCACATCCCCGGCAGCCCCTTCCACATTACTGTCTGAAAATCACAAATGTATACCACTGTTTAAAACAACTGAAATTCTATCTAGAGTCGAACCGATAATTGTTTACAAGTCCCTCCCATGTTACAAATTAAGATTTCTGGCTTTCTTGTGTGTCTTATCTTATTTTATAACCTTTTTACCAACTACAAAATAAACCCTCGCATCAGTTTACCCTCGGCCAGATCTCTGTTTTTCAACAAGTTTTAACATCATCACTGAAACCCAGTCCAGGATTTCCCAAAGTCTTTATGGTCATTTCTTGTTCTTCTGCCAATCACTTCATTAAATAAAGTGAGGGAGGGATTACAAAAAGATGCACCTTTTTTATATTATGGTCAGCCATACAATTGTGCCTTATGTTTTATTTTTTCCATTTTCAGTCATGGACACAAGTTGAAATTAGCAGATTAGTCTGAATTGTGTACAGTGATAGGATAGCTTAGCGTAGTGTAGCAGCAGTAGATTGTGAGCCCAGCGCTGGATGGAAGGTTACTGTTTACACTGGAGGAGCTACCCTTACACACATTAATAATGGATTCCCTATGAACAATGAGAGCACCTGAACCATAGTGTGTCAGAAGTAGGATTTGACATACCATGGCACACTTTGATCTAAGATCTTTAATTGTCAGATGAAACGCTCGGCACTGGTCCGGTCCACTTCAGCATGTGGTTTTCATGATGCTCTTCTACTAACCCCATCGTTTTACCTGCTGCTAGCGTGATCCAGTTTTAGGCACTGCTGTTCTTAAAGCCTTAATATGGATTAGAATAGAAAGTAACCTGCTTAGATTTAAGAAAAAGCCACATGTATGTGAACTAATTTAACTAAAGCTTACTCGTGGTTTATCTCACATGCTTTTTGTGTGTTTTAATGGGACACAACATGTGATCTGCATGTTCATTAAAAACGCTTTTGATACAGGAAGCCTCTGATTCAGATTAAGATCAACATGATGTGTTAGTGGTGGTTCACCTTCGAGTATGGAGTAAATTAAAAGGTTAAAAAGGGAAGTACTTAAAAAAGTTGTGTTTGACAGAATGGCTGAAGATGATGTGCCAAATGTCGTGAAAACTCGAAGACCAAAAAGAGCCACTCCCCCCACCCCCCCAAAAAACATCCGACCNNNTTATCTTTCCAGCTGGCTTTGTGCATAGTCTATCTTTCAGAACCAAAAAATGAATCTTGTCATAATAAATAAAAAAAGCTTTAAAAGTGTTTGTAAGACAGTATTTTCATACACAATAAAGTTGTCTAAGTATTTTTTTGTCAATGAAATGGCTGCGTTCTTTCTTTAACATTTCCATCAAAGCCCTATTCTGCTGATGTTCAGGTGTATATCAGTATGTTGTGTCTCTACTTTAAAGAGTCCTCCTGCTGATGTTCAGGTGTATATCTGTATGTAGTGTCTCTACTTTAAAGAGTCCTCCTGCTGATGTTCAGGTGTATATCAGTATGTAGTGTCTCTACTTTAAAGAGTCCTCTCCTGCTGATGTTCAGGTGTATATCAGTATGTAGTGTCTCTACTTTAAAGAGTCCTCTCCTGCTGATGTTCAGGTGTATATCAGTATGTAATGTCTCTACTGGGACATGTCTCCATGCTTTAATGTTCAAAAAGCTCTTTATTTTTCTCATACTGCCTGTGCTGCAGCACCTCTTTTCACCCTCGGTCTGAAACCAGAGCCCAGTATGCTCTGATTGGTTAGCTGGCCGTCTCTGTTATGATTGGTCAACCGCTTAGAGATTTCCCGACCCTTAGACTATCACGTACAATGTGTTGGAACACTAGCCAGTAACGTGTACAAAAACCTACAGGAAAGGCAGAACGATAAAAAGCAGAATAGGGCCCCTTTAAATAAATGAATTAATTTATTAAAATTCCAAATCATGCAAAACAGATGAATTATACATTTGAAAAAAGGTCCCATAGTAGTGTGTGAAACCTGTCATTTCTTAATCGTTCAGTGTTTCTCTCTGAATGTTCTCAACATTAACTGTGGTGAATCACAGAGTAAGAATGAGAGTAATGTGTGAATTACAACGTAAAGTCTGGAACCAGTCTGCAGCCAACGCCCTTCCTGGAAAACTCCAGCTCCTTATTAGGCCTGACTCTCCTCCTCCAGAGGCCGCTGCAGGAATCTGACCTGACACAGCAGAGTTCACAGCAATGTTTATTCTGAGCTTTGAGTAGGCGTGCCTTCTTTAGGCTGCCATAATATTGAATTGCATAACTTAGACCAACCTTCTTTACCCAAGAGTCTTTGTCTAAAAGCCACAGGAAGTACCTACATAGTGTATACTAAATTAACTATTCAACTACAGAGTAATTTCTCATGTCATTCTTGAACTGGTGTTTTTCGTAAAGATTAATAAAGAAATCTCTGTAAATGAGGTTGATACCGATTACAGCAATATTACATCATTCTCAGCAGCTGCTTTTATCCTAATACTTCCATCTATGGTCAGTTGCTGGTTTTGGATCATTCAAACGCCCCAGAATGATGCAGTGGCAGATTGTAAATGTCTGAGGGGTATAGGTCCAGGTGGAAAAAGAAAAAAAAAAAACTTTCAAAAGAGAAGGCATTATGTACAAACTGTTAAATTAATTGTTGAAACTTTCTGTTGATTTTAATATGAAATAGACATCCATAATTAATTATTACCGTTTAGAGGACATTACTTAACATTGCAATGTGGCTCTTCAACAACTAAAACAGTCATCAACTGTTTAAAAATATAGATGTCTAATTAAAAAAAGATAATGCCAAAGGTTTATCCCAACCACATACAGAGGTCTGGGTCTAGACCTGAATTTCCTAAAATCTTAGAAAAAAGCCTATGAGCCGCCTCTCAGTCAAGTTTAGTTTAGTTTATTGTGTTTGGTTTAGTTGTCAGGGACCATGTAAAAGAACATACATCTCCTGGGCAGGTCAACACAAAATACAGCATATAATTCCATAACAACATTGTATCACATTATAACAACATATTTCATACACATGCACTAAAATTAATACACTTCACATAAAAGGGCACTAAACAGGGCAATTTATCAGGTTTGTTCCAATGGAAGGGCACTGTGGATGGCACTATTCTCTAAAAGAAGGGCCCTTTGCGAAGTTTTATCCTCCACAGAATTATCCAAGAGGTCTGCTTTTTTGAATGGGGGGACTATAAATGTGTAGTTTTAACATAATTTGTATCATAAACATAAACTTTAAATCTGAAGAAACGCTGTCAGGCCTTTTTCACTTCTCAAAGAAGAAAAGCATGTGCTAGTAATCGTATTAACTTGGCTATGTTAGATTCAAGTGTGTTGCCAGTTTCATAGTGTGTGCCATGAACATTAACCACTAGTGAAGCAGCTAAATGGAACCCAGCCATTATTTCTTGTTTTATTTACATGGGTGGGGGAAGATATAAGTAAAAGTAGAACCAAAGTGACGGAATGCTCTTGTCCTGCAAAAAGGACAAAAGTATTAGCATCAAAATATACTTTTAGAATCAACATTAAAAGTACTCATTTTGCAGAATGGCCCATTTTCAGAATTATATATGGCCTACTCACAGCATTTCGTGTTGTAGTCACAAAATGTATCTATTGATTCGTGTCAACACGATTTCCCCCTTTTTTTCGTGTCACACAGAACGATTTTAAAAGCAATGTAAATAATAACAAATTAGAAGGAAAAAAATATTTAAAAAAAAAAGATTTCAGTATCCTGAGGCTCTGAGCCCCATTTCTTTTCCTCACGGACGGCAAAAAAAGTCAGACATTTTACAATTTAAAATAAAAACAATAATCGTGGCTTGATATTGAGTAAGAAAATGTTTTTATGTACAACACAGCTTCTGTTCTTCCAAGACCCGACCGGACAAAAAGACGTGGTGCAGGCACGAAACGTACTACCAATAGAAATACATTGCTTTTTTTTTTTAATAAAAGGGGGAAATCGTGTTGGTGAACACGAATCAATAGATTACATTAATTTCGTGACTATAACACGAAATGCCGTGAGACTGGGTTGGCCTACATGTTTTATATTGTAGTGATCACTAATTAATTAACATAATTCACTCATGGAACTACAGGTTGGGGGTATTGTTTATAAATAGTTGCTTTATTACTGCTGGAAAGCTTGTGAATTTACTCCAGGTGAAACTAAAGTCTAATTTAAGTGTTGATTATATTTCACATCATTAACCCAAATCTGTAAAGTAACTAAAGGTAGCCTATTAAATAAATTTAATGGGCTAAAAGTACACAATTTACCTCTGAATCTTAGTGAAGTAGAAGTACAAAGTGAGCATTAAATGGAAATACTCATGTAAAGTACAAGTACCTCAAACTTGAATACTTAAGAAAATTAGGCTACTTGAGTAAATGTACTTAGTTACTTTATACGGTATAGCCTACCGCTGCATGGGTTTCATACTTTGGCACTTTAAAAAGTCGTGAAAAAGACTGGTAGTAATCCATTAAATAGGCTTTAGCTCCACTCTGCGTATTTCGGTGCACTTGGATACCACATAATTATTCTGTGTAGAAGATAAAGAAGCAGTGGACTCTTTCCAGAAGGAAAATGCGCAGTTCCACCGAGGAGGAGGACGCTCGTAGTTCTGAAGGTGTGCCAAGAAACGTCCTCCGGATGTGCCGCAGCTACACCCACTCCCACTCCTGCTCCCTGCTCCACAGCAGCTGCTTTACACTCTTTTCAACTCGTTTGTCTTATCAAAGGTAAGACTTATACAATTACTTTAACGTTAAGCTTGAAGAACTATTTATTCCCCTTTGTAATCGCGTGCGTTTTAGACGCGTGCAAGATTTTTAAAAAAAAGCCGCGAAGTTTTATGTCGTTATCAGCTTTGAGAGGTTATGGCCAGACAGTGGCTGAGGTGTAGCAGGGAATAACAAAGGGCGGGACGGAGTAAGCTACTTCAAATGTTGCCTTCACTGTGGGCGCTGTGTCCGTCCACTCGGTTTCTGTTTCTGTTTGTTCCGGTGCTGTAATGTAACCAAGTACATTCACTCGAGTACTCTACTAAGTAAAACATTTTAATTGTATTTTTAGATGTTGCTACTTTATACTTTTACTTCACTACATTTTGTAGGAAAATGTTGTACTTCTTCCTCCACTACATTTATTTTACATAGCAGTGGTGGAAGAAGTAGTCAGAAGTCAGATATTTAACACAAGTAAAAGTGGAAATAATACAGTGGAAAAATACTCTGTTATAAGTAAAAGTCCTGCATAGAAAATCGTATCTTGGTAAAAGTATGCAAGTATGTGCATGAAAATATACATAAAGTACAAAGGCAAATTCGTAATTATTGTGTGTAATATCCAATTTTAGAATTATATATATATATTCATTTACTGAATTTTGATTATCCATGCATTAATGTGCATGTGTTAATTTCTGCTGGTAAAGGTGGAGCTAATTGAATGAATTTATATACTGCTGCTACCCATGTAGTGTAGACATGAATTCAAATAAACCCCACTTGGTGCTTAAAAATAATGTGAGTACTTCTTAGTAGTTAAATAATGTGAGTACTTCTTCCACCTCCCGTTTTCTACTTATCTGTTTCTACATATCTATCTGATCCTATATCTGTCCCTTGGTCTGTCTGCAGATGTCTTTGAGAGAGAAAAGTGATGAGGAGCTCAGCAAGTTGCTCTCTGAGTATGGCATCAAACATGGACCTATAGTCGGTAAGAAAGTTCCCACATTACTGACATAATGATGTTTAACTAGTGGTAAGTGTTGGAGGGAGAACTGTTATTATACCATTATGATAATTGTGATAGAGAAAAAAAGATGATGGCATACAGAAACAATGACAGCCTAAATGAGTTCACTGTACATTGCACAGACCAAAATAGTATTCACAGTTTTCACAGCAATGTTTAACATATTTTTCTAGTTGCTCATGTTTTTGCTTACCTTTTGAGTAATCATCTGTTTTATTCCCTAAACTACATCTAATTAAAGATTAGATATAATCAAACTGCTAATCCATATTCATAAAACACATATTCACTTGACTTTTTCACATGATGAAGCACTTTAATCAAAATTTGCGGTCGGATAATTCAAAGAATCAGCTCCTATCGTCTATCCCTATCGTCTATCCCTTGACCTCTGAGTGAAACGTCATGGGGTTAAGGGATAGTGGATAGGAGAATTCAAAAGGATTTAGGAGAAGAGACTGCGGTATTTTAGAGAATCCGACTGCACTTTCACTATCCAACGTGTTT